ATATATATATATATATATATATATATATATATATATATATATATATATATATATATATATATATATATATATATATATATATATATATATATATATATATATATATATATATATATATATATATATATATAATTAAATGTATATATATTTAAATAAATGTATTTATAACTAGTTGAATGTGCTTAGGGGAGGGATATGAAGAAAGGCGGATCATCTCTGTACAGAGTGACAGCACCACGAATTACTAATGTGATACCACTGCGCCTAGAAGTCACAGGCGCACAAACAGCACCAACCAGTGGAAAGCTACACACTCTACACAACTATCTCACACAGACACAGACACAGACACAACCACACATGTGACATCATATGACACACTAACACACACCAACACACACCAACAACATTCTACAACTATCTCACACATACATAGACACAGCCACACATGTGACATCACATGGCAAACACCAACACACACCAACAACACTCTACACAACTATCTCACACATACACAGACACAGACACGGCCACACATGTCATATCACATGACACACACCAACACACACGAACACACATCAACAACACTCTACCCAACTATCTCACACATACAGCCACAGACATACATGTGAAATCACATGACACACACCAACACACACCAACAACACTCTATACAACTATCTCACACATACACAGACATAGACACATATGTGAAATCACATGACACACACCAGCATCTTGTCCATGTTTGTTTTGTATTTGTCGTTGAGCATTTCACTTCGGAAGACGAACGCGAAGGCCAGCCCTAGCAGTCCCCAAGTGTTACTCATGCGCATGGGCAAACTCATGCTGTCCACAATCTTATCAGGCGCAATCTACGCCATGGGCACAACAGCACAGGAAAGGTTAATGCTAACATACACTAAACGTTAATGCTAATATCACACTATACGATAATGCGAATATCACGCTGAACGTTAATGCTAATATCATGCTAAACGTTAAAGTTAACATCACATTAAACAATACAAACCATCTAACGTTAATGTTGATAGCACATTAAACGTTAGTGCTAACATCATAGAAAATGCTCGTGCGATGTCTTCAGCGGACAACGAAGGAATGCGCACAACAGGAATGTTCTAAACAAACAAATATCATTGAACGAGTGTTAACGAGTGTTAACAAGTGTTAAGGTGTGCTCACGATTGTTAACAAGTGTTAACGAGTGGTCTACACAGATATTGATCATTAAGCGAGTGTTAACGCAGAAATCAATCTTGTACAGAGCATAAGTGATGCGCACAGATAGAACTATGGTTTATGGTATGTCGGTTTGAACATTACGACACACACCAAAAACCAACACAAAATAATAACCAAACGCCCAACAGAATCACTCGCACACTCGCACCAATGGATGCCCCACACCTAGCTGTGTCAAATGAACGACCACCTATTTGTTATCGCAGAACGCAGACGCAGTGAGAGAGTGTGCTGCTGACTGTAACGCCGCATATGAACTACATCGCCATCCTTTCGTTCTCAGCCCACGTGAGTGTTACAAACTAATTTCGAATTCTATTTAATAAAGTATTCCCAATACAACCAATGTGAGACCGAGACCATGTGTCCATGACTCATAAGACCACGTGTCCATGACTCATAAGACCATGTGTCCCAGACTCATAAGACCATGTGTCCATGACTCATAAGACCATGTGTCCATGACTCACAAGACCATGTGTCCATGACTCATAAGACCATGTGTCCATGACTCATAAGACCATGTGTCCATGACTCATATGTGTGCACTGCGTATGTGTGTACTTATGTGTGCACTGCCTACAGCTGCGTGGGCTTACCCTGCAGGCACGAGCCATGTTGAGTTGATAGGCCGCCGGAAACTCTTCCTGCTGTGTGGAGGTATCGATGAGGTCCAAACTCAGGATAAAAACCAGGTTTATACAGAAAAACCTCAGTTGCTGCCCTAGGGTGGGCACGCAGCGGTTGAGCATGTACACATGTTCTACACCCAGGTACGCCAAGAACACCAGCAAGGCACCAGTCCACCCCACAAGCACTGCGACCAAAAATCAGGCAAAGAGGACAGGATGCACCAGAATAAAACATTAGAGAAGTACTGTGACCAAAATTCAGGCAAAGAGGATAGGATGCACCAGAATAAAACATTAGAGAAGCACTACGACCAGAAATCAGGCAAAGAGGACAGGATGCACCAGAATAAAACATTAAAAAAGCACTGCAACCAAAAATCAGGCAAAGAGGACAGGCGTCCCATTGGGGGTCAGCACGGGTGGCCAGACAAACGGACACATCAGAAGGAGCGAAACAGGTGCACACAACCCAACGAATGCAAGGCATGCACAAAAACAAAACATAAGAGGACAGGGCAAATGCATGCAGGAAAGGGTCACCACGGCCCATTCATTTGAAGGGCCGGTGCAGTCCTTGAGCCATCCAGGGCCGCGTGGGGGGTGCAGCTGTGTGGGCGTACGTCGCTTACCGTCAGCAAAGCTGTGTGTGCCAATGTACACCACATTGACAAATGTGATGCCTTCAAACAGCACTAGAAACACCCAGATCCACGGGTCTCTGATCTTGTACGCACAGAACAGCAGCACCAGCAGACTGATCATGGAGTGGCCCGAGGGGAGGCTATAACCTGTACATGGCAAGAAAAGGGGTGCATGGGCATTGATAAGATGAAACAATATGACCCTACAACGACCACGTGACTCATCATACGCAAAACCACCGACGGGGACGTGTGGGATAGACTCACTGTATCCATAACGACATATTTGCAATTGAGACATCCCACATCAACAGCGAAGAGAATGACACATGCACCTACTCACCTTTGCCACAGTAGAAGCACTGGATGTGTTCACTCACTGACAAGACACATCACACATCAATGGCGAAGGGAATGGCGCATGCACCTACTCACATGTGCCACAGGAGAAGCACTGGAAGTGTTCACTCACTGACAAGACATATCACACATCAATTGCAAAGGGAATGGCGCATGCACCTACTCACATGTGCCACAGGAGAAGCACTGGACCAACAAGACACATCACACCTCAATTGCGAAGGGAATGGCGCATGCACTTACTCACCTGTGCCACAGGAGAAGCACTGGATGTGTTCACTCATCAACAAGACACATCACACATCAATTGCGAAGGGAATGGCGCATGCATCTGCTCACCTTTGCCACAGTAGAAGCACTGGATCTGCTCACTGACCCAGAAGACTCGTGGTGATTTGATGAGGTTTTTGGCCAGGCTCTTCAGGTAGTAACCGATGGACGTTAGACAGTAGAGATTAGCGCCTTCGTAGGCGTCCTACAAAGCGACGGAACGGTTGGAGAAAGTGAGGACTAAGACGACAATAGAATGATATTTACATTGAGACTGCAGTAGAATGGTACATTAAGGTTTAGGGTTTAGGGTTTTAGGAGTATAGGGTTTAGAAATTAATGTACATTTCTACGATCATACTTACAACCAGGTTCATGAAAGTAATCCAGCGACGGCAGGCTGGGCTTTCTATTGGAGAAAGGCAAGCACTGACTGGCCAATGCTTGATGAGGGAATGAACTACCCAGGTGGACAGCAGTGACAAACTGCTAGAGACACGCATGAACACTCGAGGCTACATACGCACATGAACACTCGTGCTTACATACAGATACACGCATGAACACTCGAGGTTACATACACACATGAACACTCGAGGTTACATACACACATGAACACTCGAGATCAGATACGCAAATGATCACTCGAGTTCAGATACACACATGAACACTCGAGGTCAGATACGCACATAATCACTCGAGATTACATACACACGTGAACACTCGAGGTCAGATACCCACATGATCACTCGAAGTTACATACACACATGAACACTCGAGGTCAGATACACACATGAACACTCGAGGTGTGTCTGATGAGGGGATGTGGTCAGCTAGTCTGTCTGTGCATCGTGCGGTGTGCTATTGCCGTGAGCGCTCTTAAATCCCTCTGGATTTGCTTGAGCGTCAGACTAGTAACACATGATACACACACACAGGTTTCAGGGTTTTAGGGCTTTTAAAGTTTTAGTTTTAGGGCTTTTAAAGTTTTAGTTATAGGGTTTTAAAAGTTTTAGTTTTAAGGGGGTTTTTAAAGTTTTAGTTGTAAGGTTTTTGAAGTTTTAGTTATAGGGTTTTTGTAGTTTTAGTTATAGGGTTTATAAAGTTTAGTTATAAGTGTTTTAAAGTTTTAGTTGCAGGGTTTCTAAAGTGTTAGTTATAGGGTTATAGGGTGTCCACTCTTCCCTTCTGGCATACATCCGGTTTAGATAGATGATGACCAGCAGCGGTCGTAAGTTATATTCGCTGCAGCAAACGGATCTAAAGCTAATCACAAATGTACATACACAGTGATTTACACATCTAGTAACTATCGTTCACGATTTAAGACACACTCTATTATGCTCGTAATTACAGCAGCAATACGCACACATACACTCACAAATAAACATAGCAAAACAGCACACACACACTCACAACACAAACACAAATAGGAGCACAGAGTGTGACCCCAATGTCTTACCACTGACCAGTAAACAATAGCGCAGAGCAACAGCCACGCATGGCTTGTGACAGCGTGGTGCAGGAAATCGCTGAGGTCTTCGTATGACTCATTGTCCAGTGCTCTTTGGTAGTACTCTGTCAATGGCGCCGACAGCCCCTGGATGGTAGGGCCTGCAGCGGGCACAAGGTTGGCACGCATGAGAATGGTAGGTAGGTAAAAGCGAGAATGGTAGGTGGGTATAAGCGATAATGGTAGGTGGGTATACGTGAGAATGGTAGGTAGATATAAGTGAGAAAGGTAGGTAGACATAAGTTAGAATGGTAGGTAGATATAAGTGAGAATGGTAATTTAGTATAGGCTGTGATTGATGTCCCATTCCATCTGTCGCCATGGCGCCCTTCCGCGGTCCATCTTTGCATGTTAAACCCTAAAATGGACAAGAGAGAGGTACAGAACGCGCATCACAATCATCACACTCTGGCCGACAGGCAGACCAATGCACCCGAACCACAGACACAGGACAATGGGCCAGGGACATCCAATGATTGTCCTAAAAATATCAATTGAGGGCGTGGTTGTGAACTTAAGTGAAAGACAAGGACATGGACGCAAGATCCATCTAACGGTGTTCGTTCATCTTTCGCAGACGAACTCTGTCATCTCCGCGGTGTGGTTTCCGAATGCCAACTGACACCCCATCAGCTCTCATTGTGCGAGTCTGTGGCGGATATTTAAACATAAAACGAACACACGTGCCAAAAAGTGACCTCGCATTGACAGGTCACTATGTCCCGAGAAGGTCAAATGTAGGGCAAGCACATGAGCAACTGATTCGAAAAAGTTATAGCCCAGGGTTTTAGTGTTTGATACGTACATATCCCATCTTTAATATATCACCAATGTAAAATATTATGAAGACATACCTACTGTCATCTTTAATATATCACCAATGTAAAATATTATGAAGACATACCTACTGTCATCTTTAATATATCACAAAGTAAATAATTATAGAAGACATACCTACTGTCATCTT